TTCCGATTCAGCCTTGACCTCTTCCCGTTCCAGCAATAGCTTCATGCTTCAGCACTTCCCGACCTGGCAGCGTAGGAGAGTGGTGTTCTGCCATTGTTGTCCTTCGATTCAGCGTTGACCTCTTCCCGCTCCAGGAGCAGACTCACGGCACCCTTACTCCAGCTTCTGGCAGCGTATGAAAGTGGTGTTCTGCCATCCTTGTCCCGCGATTCCACGTTGACCTCTTCCCGTTCCAGAAACAGCTTCATAGCTTCCACACGTCCCCACTCTGCAGCGTAGGAGAGCGGTGTCCTACCATCATTACCCCGGGATTCGGCATCAACCTGGTCTTGATCCAGAAGCAACTTCACTATTCCTTCATGTCCGCTCAGGGCCGCCCAGCAGAGCACCGTTCGCCCCTCAGCGTCTGTTCTTTCGAAATTGAAATCTTTCTCTTTCAGGAATAGATCCATTATCCCTTCACGCCTATTTTGGACAGCCCATATTACCGGTGTGCGGCCCAAGAAATCAGCCCCATTAATATCCCCATTATTCATCCGCAATAGAGCGCTTGCAATCTGATCAAGACCGAGATAAGCTGCGCAGTGAAGTCCCGTGAATCCCTGAGGTAGGCTCCCCGTCTTACCGCTTAGTTGGCCAACCTCTAGCAACAGAAGGAGCTTGGCTGATATATGGCTATCAAAATTACATAGAAGCTGAAGTGCAGACAATTTCACACGGTCTGTAGTTTCATTTCTTGCATAGCACCCCCAGTGCGTGGAAGCATATTCAAGCAGTGGGGTCTCTAGTGGAGCAGCATCAAGAGTAGGTGAAAGCTTATTGACACAGTCATAGTTAAGATATGTCAAACAAATCTCGGCCATTGTTGCGTACGGATTCAGGAAGATTTCCGAGTGGCTATCGAGATATTCTTGGAGTGTAAAGTGCACCAAACGGACCGTTGATTCCCCCTTATCGACGGTTATAAGGCCAAGGCAGGAAGCCAACAATGTTTGAATAGAAGGAACATTTTCGGGGTCGGGGTCGGCAGACCCTATTTGCACACCTAGGGCGTGACATAACTCGTCTGCGGTCATTGGCTCCTCCGATCGAGAAACCCACATTAGTGCGGCCATGCCAAGTCTTGACTTGGCCCCGCCTTGGGCCTCCATTCTGGCCAAAGCCACACGATAGGCATCGCCTAAGCCCAGCCCATGGGTCATTCTCTTGAGCTGCTCTCGCCGGCCACAGATTGTTGCTTCCGCCAATATTGCCCTGATGTTCAGCGAAACAAGTAGAAACCTAACCCCGATTGTTAGAGATTACTCAAGAGCCGAGCATAAAATACCATCACTTACACATCCGAAATAGTTTCTGAAACCCGTTTCACGATTTCAGCCCTAAGACCGGGGTTCATTGCTTCAGGTTCGGGGTCGTTATCCAACATCATCTGCAAGTACCTCACGATGTCCTTCACAATTGGCTTTAACTGAAGGAGCGACGTGCCCCAAGGTAGATATTTCTCAATATCGCGATGGATGTGGGGCCTCCCAGTAATGAATAAACGAATTTTCGGAGACCACAGGGAGATAGTATACAATGAGCGCAGCAGTTCGGGGAGATGCTTCGCCTGGCATTCGTCTAGGGCATCAATGCAGATAAAAGCCTGCTCTAGTGGTGTAAGGGCAGCTCGGAGGAGTGGAAGGAGCTCAGAAACTCGAAGACCTCGACCGCCAACTTGACCCTTTGATTTCCGGAACGCATCAGCGATCTCGCTAGGAGCCGCTCCTAACCCCCGCACAAGCTGCTTGGTGAGGGCACCCAATATGTTCTCCGGGGCTTGGGCCTTTTGGTTCTGGAAGTCACAGTAGAAGCATGTGACAGCGACTTTCTGCCCCACACTCTGATCGCATAACGTGTCAATCACTAGAGAGCTAATTTTGCTGTCAGTATTGATCCCCTATGCTCCGTATATATATATAAAATCACAGGGTCGTCCTATGATACCTAAGATATGTCTTCCCGACCCCAGGAGGGCCAGAACAAAAAAGGATAGCTCTGTCGGATTCACCCCTGCCATGACGCCAGTTGATAAACTCCTCGGTTTGCAGAAACCATTCACCTACACCATCTAGCCGGTCAGTACGCACATCTTGGTGTCGCACTCGAGGTTCCAGTGGCGACAGCCACTCCAGGATCTGAGGGTTTTCGTCCACATAGGTAGTGTTGTAGCTGTCTATCACGTTAAAACTGTCTTTGTGCCCAATGCCAGTAGCATCAGGGTGGATGCCGGTTCGTGGATCCATGTCGTTTGGTAAGTTATGTTGTTGGGTAAACGAGAGAAACCGAATGTCGGTGGGGTAAGGTTGAAGATTGGGTATCTCGGGGAGTTAGAAGCTGTGGAAAAGGGGTCGCAGTCCCTATCATGTTCTTCACCCCTGTTGTGCAACACTATCCCTTCTCTCTGCTAATAGGGCGCCTTGCGCCAACAAAATCCTGATTGCTGCCTAGAGGAAATTACTGTAATCGGAGAGGGCACTTTCTGAATGCTAAGCCTTCCTGCCGAGCTCTCCGCTCTAAATTAGTACCGGTATCCGGATACAACCAAGAGCAGGCTATGTCGCCTCCGGCGGAGGTTTAGACAGCATTCTCTAAAATTCAGCTCGCTATCTATCTCCCGTGGGGTCCATAGCCTAAAACTACACGTACATCTCTCGCACACAGGTTTAGCGACTGTCCGCCGGGTTCATCCTAGCGGAGGTATCGCACGGCTCTATTGACGACCGAAGTTTGCGGGTTCAGGAAATTTCGCCCCTAAAACATAGCAAGGCATCTAATGCTATTCCCGCAAGTTGTACTCGGATAGAAAATGGGCTAGTATATGAGAACCCCTTCTCGGCTACGGTACGCGAGGAGGAGGTACAGTACTCGAGTACAATGGTGTTCTTCAAAACCGGTTAAGCCCAGGTCTATTAGTCCTCTCCATTACCATGCGGTACTAGTATATCCTCCCCACGGAGCCTCCGTTTCTGGCGGCTTAAGAGAAGATACTTGTACTTGTAGATATCATGCCGGAATAACCCGGCAATAGGACTAGTTCGTTACCGAATCGAGGTTTAAACGTTGGTAGAAAATAAACTACCGGTATCCCTTTCACACAGCTTAAACTGTCACCGGAATTACTCGATCCCGTGAAACCAGGCAGTGGAAACCTAGAACAAGATCACATGAATAAATAACTGAGCAACTTTAACCACTTCGAATCTTTTCCTTCTGATGAGCGAATCATAACAGGCTGGTGACAAAATTTTGAGTGCGCAGTAGTCCATTAGAGCAGTGCACAGTCCTTGCCTAACCTATGGGAAAAAAACCCTTACCACGTGTTGGATCAAAGCCCTCATCACCAACTCGGGGCTGACTGTGCTTTTTTATTTCTACACCTCCACTGCGCACCCCTTGTAACCCCCCCCCCACTCTTGCCTCTCTGTGAGGATCTAGCGGTCCATTAACACCGGGGAAACTGCCCGCCTCTACTAGGTTTGCTATAAGTTACTTAGTCTATTGGAAAGTGATCTTGTATGATAACTAGGGTCGTATACGGTAGCAAAAGAATATCCATCAAAATATTTCTGATAGTTGCTGGAAGGAAGGCGGTCCACTTGTTAATTAACCCGAAATGACCCAACTCTACCCAATAAGTGGTGAGGGGACAGCGGTAATGTACTCGTGTGAGGTGTGAAAGGAAGATGAAAATTCCAGGGAGAGGGAAAAAATGAAAACAATACCGGTACCGCACCTTCACAGCACGCAACGGCATATCCCACTCTGGCTGCCGTAGGCAACCGTCTAAACATCCGGCTCGCGCTACCCGCTACCTACGACTCACCACACATGATCTTTCCCCAACGCTACCGGTGGATATTCCCACAGGTACAGTCACTCACATGATGGAAACTGGTACCGTACCCTCACCGTCGCCACTCACGGTTCGACTCGGGAGTGCTAATCCCTTTTTATCAGGTTATCTTCCGGAAGCGCGGGGCTGGGCTACTCGTAGCGGCAGAGTTGTGGTCCCGTCCGGTCCCGGTTTCTTGGCGGTCTTCCCCCGGGAGCGCATGACCCCGGGGCCGGCGCGAACGCGGGTCCTACCGTGCCCCTAACACAAGTCCCATGCAAACTAAGGTGGTGGTACAACCCCACGCAGGTGGTAACGGGACATGCGCTAAGCACCGCCGGCTTTGCAACCACAACCCGACCATCATGAATCTGCACAATATGCCAACCGATCAGAATACAGGAAAACGACGACAAGCTACAGAAACCAAGCGAATTACAGTAATCAAAATGCATGCGGAAGGAAAGAATTACCACCAAATTGCCCAAGAAACCCCAGTTTCAAAATCTGAGGCTCAGCGGATTGTCAAACGCTGGAAGACAATGAAGACGATAAACCCTGCACCCCGCCCTGGATCCCAGCCAAAATTAGATGAGCGGGCTAGAAGGCGATTGCATCGGATAAATGAGCAAAATCCTCATGCTCCACTCTGCGACATTACCACCGATCTCAACCTCCCAGTGTCAGAAAGGACAGTGGATACTACTCTTCAGGATATGAACCTGTCACAAACTGTGACTAAGCAAGGCAGATTTTACATAGCTTGGAATTCTAAGCTATAGGTATGTTGGATTTTCACATGACGCACACTAGTACACCATAGGTTATTATGTTTACCTGTTCGTGACTCACACTTGTGAGTCACACTATGTTATGATTTTCGCACATGATTTATGGGTTTCACTCAGGTGATGCGAGTTGCGCACCTGACTTGGTTAATTATGTTTTGATTGGTTTTAGGTATGTTGCGCAGCGACTCATAGGAGTCAGCTGAGGGATTTCGCATGACTCATAGTTATGAGTCACAAGGTTCGCGTGACGCAAAAGTATGAGTTACGCAAGGTGAAGAGCTACTATATAAAGGGTCACTAGGACCCCTAGTATTAGCTCTTCACACGTTCTTCTTGTTTATTTCCTACCTTTAAGTTATTACAATAAAACCTACCTTTACGCTCTTTAAGATTTATCTTAAGAAACCCAAGAAGTGTCTGTCCTCCTATAAGGGGCAGTTATCTCTCATATGACTATATGCAAAGAAGTCCTAAGCGAGGACTTAAGAAGTTCAGAGGAATAGGCGTGATAAGATAGAAGTCGGAGGACTTAGCTATCGATATCGCGTAGGCATAGGCCTAAGAACTATTACCTCGCACGAAGTAAGAATCGTTACCTGTCGCTAACTCCTACTCGGTAGGATTCTTAACAGAACCACTATGTTCATATCGCCTGCAAAAAACCTTTCCTCAACCATGAAAGGAAGTGGCAGCGATTATGCTGGGCGCAAGAAAGGCGATCTTGGAATAAATTCATTTGGAGGAAAAAGATATATGCAGATGAGATGAAGCTTACAATTAGGCAAGG